TTTTTAAGATAAAGTGTTAAAATTGTTGATACTGATTTTGACAAATGGGGAAACCACTTCTTTATATATTTCTTTTCTTTTTGTTGTCTGTATTTCTTTTTTATATATTTTTCTTTCTAAATTATTTTTTCTGTTCTTCTGCACTTTATTTTTTTTTGCAATTTTTTTAACTGTAATATTTAGTAAAATTATTATAATAAAAAAGAGAGATTAATTCCTTCTTTCCCCCAAACATCACCAACTCTATGCCCTTTTCTGGTAAGGAAGAGAATTACCATAGCTGTTCTGCAAAGAAGAAGGCAAGAATAAAAACTTTGCAAATCACGCTGCTCACACTTTTGATAGGCCCTTGCTGCCAGTGGATATCTGGATCGTTATTTTGAGCCCAATCAATGGGGCATGTAAATAGGTTGTGATAAAATGGAAGGTAAATAATTCTGTAGGATCATTTATTATCAGTTGTAAAAGTATTTGTACATTGCAGATAAAAGCAGGTCAATTGTTTCCAAAATAAACATTTCTCTGTGTCAGCAGTTTAAACTATAGTATTATCTTATCTCTGACATTGGCCATACACCTGAATCTAGAAGAATGGAGAGCTGAATTTTTAAGTCTGAGAGTGTACGAACTGTAACAAGAATAAAATATGCTTCTCTGCTGTTGTTGTCTGAACTCTTCACTGCCTGAGGCTCTCTGTTGAGCTCTTAGGAGGGGAGTCTATGAGGTTCTCCAAGATGATACTCTGGAAAGATTTCAACATTAGCTTGCTACACAACCCACAGTCCCATAGTTGTGGCACTTAATAACTGATTCAGAGATCTGTACTTTAGCAGTGCAAGTCTTGGCTTTTTCTGCTATGGACAGGAAACTGCTCTTATATACTGCTTTTATTTGCACGGATTCTCCAGTGTTGGCATCTAAGGATTCCACAGAGTGGGGATAAGGATGCAGAGAAGTTGTGAAACTTTCCATATTCTTTCCTCGGTGTCTCAACTTTTTCAATCTTCCATCAATATTGTAAGTCATTTGACTGAATTGGGTGGATATAGAAATACATAAATAAATTTTAAAAAAAAACCATTCCACAGAACATTTTGATAGTATGCCTTGCTCTACTTTTCTCTCAGTTAATCAGCAAGTCCTTTTCCAAACTGGTCAATCAGAACAAAATCATTCCATTCCATAGTTCTGTCTTATGATTGAAATCTGGTAGATACTCATGAAATCTGTGATTGCCTGCTTTAGCTTATGAAACTCCTGAATTTTATTTATTTATTAAATTTGTTTGCCACCCGTCTTGTCATGAGGCAATTTGCTGTAACTCTCCTTGCTGAATCATCAAAAGGTCTAATATTTGAATGAAGTTCTGGTAACTGTCCAGCAATGGATCATTGCTCTTAATGAAAGGCACAGCCCAATTGGTTATTCCTCCTTTCTGCAGACTCAAAGAAAAGGCAATATTTAAGCATTGTTCAGGACATTCTGTTGTCCAACCCACTATAAACAATTCACTTCGGTTGTTATAGTCAAAAATTGATCCTGAAATCCCACAGAGTTCTCTGACAAACTTCCAGGAGAATAACATTGATTGGGTGGAAGGTTCTTAAGTCTCTTCTAGCTGAGTGAAATTTTGTTACAATTTCTATGTTAGATGTACCACATCATTGTGCAGGTTTGTTATATGTATATTCATTTGCTGTTGATGCTGCAACAATGTTTTAGCAACTCAGCTTTCAGAAATGGCATGCCTCAAATATCAAATGAGCATTTCATCCAAAGTAAAGATGGTTTCTGTTATAAAATAGTGAGACTTTCAAGCATGTTGTTAGCTTTTCAAAGCTGGCCAAGTCAGGGAACAGACAGGCTGAAGAGTTATCAGAATTTTGTTTTATTGTTATGGGCTATAACATCTTGAAAGCCTACTAGGATATTTCCTTGTCCCCTCTTATACCAAAGAAAATCAGAGTACTGTTTTTTTTCCCTCTTCCTCTCTTCCTTCTCAAGACTAAGTTGATGTTTACCTAACAGTTCTTGCATTCCTCCTTTGTTGTTATTTATCATACTCCTTTATAATACTTTTGTGAATAGCTTCATGTTCTTCTAAAAATTGTGCAATTGCTCTTGAGTATTATCTGGTTAACCAAAATATAATAAATTGTAAAAGTGATTATAGTATGATTTTGTATAAACAAAATTAAAGTACCAGATCTGATACTAACACAAAAAGAATTTCTGTAAATAATAGAAGCTGTTTGTTGGTAGAATGATACCAATGCACAGAATTCATCAGGATAGTAGTTTACAGTAATCTTTATAATTACCTTTGGACATAAAATACTATCATCTTAGCAATCAAGACTTGATCTCAAAAGGATATCAAAGAAACTCCCTTTGTCTTTCATGTTTACATTCAGCAAGTTAGGAGACAATTACTTTGCCAATATTCTCGATTTTGAATTTTTGTGATATTTTATTTAAATCACATAGCAATTTTTCAAGCTTGTCATGATACTTATCCTTGTATGGATTTCTTGGTGAAGTAATATTACATTTTCCATTTCTATTTAGTTGATTACAGTTTGGGAATGGCATTACCAGTTAACATAGAGTTCTTCTGCTGGATGTGTTTGTTTATCAGAACACTGTTTCTACCTGCCCTTGTTTTTATTTTCCTTTAACAACTGACACTGTGTCATCTGAACACAAACAGTAAAAAACATCAAACACATCAGAAATTTATTGTTGCAGACTATGGACTTCTTTCAATGTGTATAAAATAAAGGGTCAACAGACCTCAATTTGTTCTGGAGTGGGTAAAAGAAAGAAAAAAATATAGCCTATGTCTTGGATTTTTAAAATATTTTTCAATATGTTTTTGGTTTATCATGCCCATTTCCAGTTTTCTGTAACTAGGGCATTATACAGTACTTTCATAGGTAAAATTAAAATTGATTTTCCAGGGAGGCACACACTCAGGCTTTGTGATATGACAGCAGAATGATTGCTTAAAACCATTTGCAACTCAAACAGAATGTATCAAATACATGATTTTATTTAGTAAGCTTGCACAAACCCACATTTTTTAAAAAAGAAAAATAGACCTGTTATCTACTTAGATATGTAATATTTGTTGTTTTTGCTTACTGCTTGGAAAATGCACTATTGGATATAATGTATTTTGAATCTGATGATTTAGAACTCACCCTTGTATAATCTACACATTTGCATATATTAAGATCTAATTTTTAAAAAATCAATTTTGTAATAATTTTATTGAAAATAACATATACACATCAAACTAATACAAACTACAAAAACAAAAAGATAAAAATTGAATGTGCAAAAAAGGGGGTAAAAGAAAGAAAGAATCCGTCCTGGTGAATATAAAACAACTTTAATTGCCATCGCTTAAAATACAACCATCTCTTTATCCTGTATCTCACCTCATTCTCTATAAACAAATCTTTAAAATTTTATTCCCCATCCTAATCAGCAAAAGTTCATTCTAGATTCTTTGAAATCCAGAAAATTTCCCCATCTTGTATTTCTTTGATTAAAGCTTTTGCTTTAATTTTTAATTTGAAATTTGGTTTATTTAAAGAAGTGGTCAGTTTTCAGAATCAAGCATTCTTTTAATGAAAAAAGACAGACCACTTTAATTCAGTGATTATAGAGTTTGGACTTTGGATATGATATTTAGAGAAGTTTTCTGAAGTTCTAATCTGTTCCATTCCTTGTTGCAAGCCTAAACATAAAATCTTGTCAAATTTAATCAAATAATGCTGCTTCTCTTTCAGTCTGCATGCACAGAGATATCTCTTCTATGAAAGATTATCTTCTCTTCATATCTCTTTTGTAAACAATGTCAAATGCTTTATAAAAATTTCAATAGATCAGTTCTATAGTAACATTTTCGTTCTATTACCTAAAATCAATCTATAAGATTTTTTTAAAAAATGGATCATTATTAAGGTTTGTTGTATAGTCAGCCAGATGATTAGACTGGATTTGGCACTTTTATCCATCTATCGAGTCCTTCCCAAGCACCTGGGATAGAGAGATATCACTGTTGATGGTGCCCAAGATAGTGTTGCAGGATATAAGGTGTTCCAAATAAATCTTCATTTTGCAACTGACTGATAGGAATTTTGTCAATACTGATAGTGTTCTAGTGGTGCTCCAGATATTTTGGGATTACATCTAAGGTGTCTTATTAGTGATATTATCTTTGCTTTATTTGCTATGTTCTATTTCTAATTTTCAGAACTTTGTATTTTGTGGTTTTCCTCGTTTTTTCTCTCTTTTATTCTGCTGTCTCCAAGTATTGCAACACCTGCTATCCAGATTTTTTTTTATTGTTTTTCTTATTGGCAATTGTTAAGCCTGGCAGTTGCCTGTTTGGAGTCTAATGTCCCATAGCACTTTAACTTATTTATTTTCTATTATCTTGTCTATTTTGTGATTCCACTTGTTCTTGCTTGCAGGCAAATAGATATTTCTTGCAGATATTTCAATGTACCCACGTTATTGTTTGTAGTCAATCAGTATGGACTTCTTGAAACAAGTAATTAGATGGTCCACTGTTTCTTCAGTTTCTTTGTAGAGACAGCATTTGCTATCTGTTGCTGTCTTCTCAATTCAAACTTTGTATGCACTTGTATACAAGGCGTGGTCTTCTGCAGCTAGAATTACCCTCCATCCCCATCTCTTTCTTCAACTTACCTGCTAGTAGCCCTTCGAGAAAATGTTGAATCCTGGTGATTGTCTGGACTGGTTCTTGCAGTTTTCTTGGCAAGATTTTCAGAAGTTGTTTGCCACTGAGTTTTCTGAGGGCTGAGAGAGAATGATTGGCCCAAGGTCACCCGATTGGCTTTATGTCTAAGGCAGAACTAGAATTTGCCATCTCTTTTTATTTTAGTGCCTTAACCACTAAACCAAGCTGGCTCTCTAGAATATAGCTAAAGTATAGTAGGTTACATATCAACTTCAACTTTGCTTACCTTGATTTAAAATTGTCTGGTGGCATGAGTTCCAATGTATGTGTTGGGCCATATAGATTGACAACATACAGCTTTACTATTGGATTCAGTTCACCTGCCTTTAAAAAAAAATAAATACATTTCAATATTGATGAAATATGAATGAAATAATTAAATACAAGTCACACAGATATCTCATTGATATTCCATGACAGAGAACTGATGGCCATGCATTGGCATATACAATAAGACCTACATTCCTACAAACTTATTTTATTTTCCTTTTTTCATTATGAATACAAATAACTGTATAAAATACAAAAAAGGGACAATGCTTTTATAAGGAGTAAAAATAATTATAAAAAGTTCCATATGCACCAGCTTGGTCCAATAGTTGTCATAAATACTACTAAACCTGCCTAGTGAAGTAAAACATTGCAAGACATAAAGTCTTAGTCTATATTATTAGATCATTTGCCTCATAATTAAGGTGAATCTAAAATGAACAGAAAAATTAAATAAAGGTTACAATTTATTAACAAAATAAATCTGCTCACTACATAAATAAATTATACTAGACTTTTATAATTTCTTTATCATAAGTTTAATTAAATCTTAAATTTTATCCTTCGTTCTGTGTTTCTTTTTGTACTGTACAATCTGAAATTGCTAAAGAAAAGTAATATAACAGTTGTAGAAATTAATTCTGCTCCTATCAAAAACATACGAAAAAATATCTCCTGATGTATTACATTTAATTTTACATGCTGTAAAGTCATCTAACAATTTCATATTTTTAAAAATTCAAATGTAATAAAGATAATTATCAAACAGATCCTAGTCCAGAGTAATACATTATTTATTCATTTTCTAAAGTTGCCCACTGACCAAATTACTCTGGCTGGAATGTAAAAAGTTAAAAACATAAAAAATAAGTTAAAAACAACAATAAAAAAGAAACCATGCTGGGGAGGGAAAACAGACAGATTTAACAAGTTTATGCATCATTCATCCTGGCCTAAATCCATGCTAAACTACATGTTCGATTCTAACATTCATAGGTTCTTTAATGTTTTTTTTTAAAGTTTATTTATTTTACTATTCCTGTAGACTGCCACATTCCAGCAAAAGTACTAGAAGTTTATGGTAATATGTTAAAACAATAAGCCAACTGTAAAACCAGTGAATAATCCAACCCCCCAAAGAAACTGCCAGCATTCACTAACTACTTGCATTTGCATGCTTCTGAACTGGCAGGAGCTCACCCTGACATGTGACACTTGGTTCTCAAACCTGGGCTGCCTGCTTTCCAGCTGATAAGCTCCATTTATTATATTCCCATCATGCTGCCCAGGGACTACAAGAAATGAATGGATTTATTAGTAATAATTAATTCCTTGAATTGTGCTGAGAAGCCTTCTAATAACTAATGCAGGGCCTAAAGCACTAATCTTAAGTAATTATGGTGGCTGTTACTTACCAGCAGATTGCTTATTGGGCACCAGCTGCAGTCTACAAAAGCAGTCCCAAATAAAGCTCATTGCAACAATCTATTCTAGAGGTGATGACCGCATACCTAAGATGGTTTTGTGTCCGATATGGTTTTAATTATATTTTGCCAAGTGGTACACATAGCATAGGAAAAGGTAGCTTTACCTGGAGGTAAAGCATTGTTAATATATCTACATCTTACAGTGCTTATTTGACTTGATAGAAGAAATAAACAGCCTGACGTTAGTTGAATCTTAACAAGAGAGAAGAACTGAATTTATTTATTTGTTTATTTAATTTTATTTATTTTATTTAATTATTCATTTATTTCTTAAATTTCTTTGCGACCCATCTCATACAAGTTCCTCAACCTGCTCTCGTGTTGAACAAGTGACAAAAACAAAACAAAACTAGATTAGTTCATTAATTCACAAAAACATTCACATAAGTCTCCTGGGACAGAGATGTCTGTAATTATATCTGAATAACAAAAAAAAAAAAAAATTGCTTAAGTCTTTTATTTTTAGGTAATAGAGTTGTTATCTTCAACTACAATGACTGTTTTCTTCCAGTAATTGTGGGTAAGGGAACAATTAAGTAAAACATACATTATTAATAAAGAAAGTATTACTCAGCTTCCTTACCTTTGGATATGGGTACTGTTTTCCTTTGGGATACAGAGATCCAGTAAACCAAGGAATAAGCATATTTGGTACTAATGAGTCATTTATCATAAGGAACGCCAGCCTCTCTCCATCAGGTGACCACCAGTGAGTAATGTGTGAATGAAGCAGCTCCTCTGGGGAAAAAAAAATATACTTAAACCCATGCAATTAGCATTTTCTATCAGATTTACAAGTAACTATTACCTTTTAGAATTCTGTGGAAGGACATTTGAAACATCAGTTTTATCTAAACATTTTCCTCTTAGAAACATAAAAGAAAAATCAAAGAAACTATAAAGGATGGTGCCTTTTATTTTAAACTAAATGGAATAATTCACTTTTCCCTAAAATTCACACTTCAAAATTATTTAGATGCACTTCTACACTCCACTGAAAAAAGCAGAATAATTTCTAGAATACAAACTAAAAATACGTCCCTTATCTTCCCCATGCAAGTTATTTTTCTTGAGGTAAAAAAAAAAACATGCATAGTCTAGATTTCCATATTTTACATTCATAGTGATAAGTTTTTTAAAATGAGATAATTTTGCAAGAAATAATAATAATAATAATAATAATAATAATAATAATAATAATAATAATAATTAACACCCCAGACTTAACAATTGTCGATAAAAAAGACAAAAAAGTCTGGATAGTGGACGTGGCAGTGCCTGGAGACAGCAGAATAGAAGAGAAAGAACTGGAGAAGATAACAAAATACAAAGACCTACAAATAGAAATAGAAAGACTGTGACAAAAGCAAGCAAGGGTAGTACCAATAGTAATAGGCTCCTTGGGTGCAATCCCAAAACAACTGGAGCACCACTTGAACACCATTGGCATTGACAAATTCGCTATTAGTCAATTGCAAAAGGCGGCCTTACTAGGAACTGCTTCCATCTTGTGACGATATCTGTAATACCATCAAACATCCACATCTGCCTATCCCAGGTCCTTGGTAAGGACTCGATAGGTAGACTAAATGCCAAATCCAGTCTGAACATCTGGCTGACTGTGCGATGATCCATAATAATAATAATATCATTGCACAGTCATCCAGATGTTCAGACTAGATTTGGCATTTTTGTCTACCTATTGAGTCCTTACTAAGGACCTGGGATAGACAGATCTGGATGTTTGATGATATTTGTAACACCATCGAACTTGGTAAGGACTCGATAGGTAGACAAAAATGCTAAATCCAGTCTGAACATCTAGCTGACTGTAATAATAATAATAATAATAATAATAATAGTAGTAGTAGTAGTAGTAGTAGTAGTAGTAGTAGTAGTAGTAATAATAAGTGTAGTTTGTGTTCTATTTGTCCAATGACGTGTTGACTGGATTCCTGACTGTTGATTCTGTACCTGAGGTTGGTTATTTCTTGATGGAGTATGTAGGTTTTTCATTTATACAAGACATTTTGTAGAGTTTCTATGGGTTTGTGGATCACTGCGATGGATAGTGGTTGGAATAATAAACTGATATATATATCTTATATATGGAAGTGTTATTGTACAATCCTAGGGATATCTTTAGTCCTTTGTTTCTGGAGCATTTTTTAAGGACATTTGGTGTGGGATCGTTGTTCAATACTGAAAGAGCATTTCAGTATTGTTTGAAGACTTGGCCCTTTTATGACTTGTGTACTTCAACTCCCAGAATTCCTCACCTAGCGTGCCTGGCTGAGGAATTCTGGGAGTTGAAGTCCACAAATTATAAAAGGTCCAAGTTTGAAGACCCCTGTGAAAGAGGTTCCTGAGTCCACCTGTTACAAGGATGCTGATGAGCTGTAGTGGTTTTTGCTCTATTGACAATTGTTCATATGCAGTGGATCTTATGCTTTCTGTGGTGGCTTTTATGGTAATAATACAAGTTTCGTTCTATGTGCATAGATTTTCTGTAAACTTGGATTTTCAGGCAGTTATCATTCAGCATAGTTAGAAGGAAGTCTAAGGATGGGAGTTTGTTCTCTTTATTCTCTCAATGTTTTGTTTAAAATCAACTAGTGCTTCCAAGGAAGCATCAAACTGCTATCCAATCCCTCAGAATTCATTGTAAGACAATCCCCATTTCTGAACCATTGCACTAAAGCCTCTCTGGAAAAATGAAAAAAAAAATGTTGTCTCTACTTTGGTATTGATCTCCCTAAGCCTAAAAGTGAAAAATCTACCTGAGCTACCACATTCCCAAGAAATCTTGAAAGCATTTATCCCGCAATGTTTTTTTACTTTTCAGATTTGAGCAAGGATAAGTTTTTTTGCATTCACATACATACAACAATTTTTATTGTGCAATTTACCTTCATATAACCAGTCTGCAATTCCATTAAAAACAATTCCTTCTTTCCCAGAAGATGTCAGTCTCAAAGAGCTGCTCTTTACATCAGGCTGGTAATAGATGTTATTTTCAAAAATATAAATCTATGTTGGGTAAAAAAGAATGACACACTATGTAATTAGTTAATAGTTTCATATTCATTATCAGGAAATCATTTCTGAAGCTAATTTTTATATCCTTATATAATTTATGGATTATTTTAGAAGGAAAACGGGAGAAATAAAATATTTGTGTCTAAAATCAAATAAGCTTCAACAGAAGGCAAGGTTAAGTTATACCACAGGTCGGCAACCTGCGGCTCCGGAGCCGCATGCGGCTCTTTGAGCCTTCCCCGGTGGCTCCCAGCCTCCTCTGTCTTTGCAGAGAGAGACAGAGACAGAGAGAGGCAATTGCGCCTCTCTCTCTCTCTCTCTGTGTGTGTGTGTGTGTTTGTGGTTTTTTTTTTTGTGTGTGTGTGTGTAAAAGAGAGTGCACTCACAGTGTTCTCCGAGGAGCTGAAAAGCTTACTGGGCGGAGCTCCTCCCTTTGCTGCGTCTCTGCAGGAAGCAGGAAGCAGAAGGGCAGGAGAGAGCTAGCTAGCCCAGCTAGGCTGACTCAGGAATTCTGGGAGTTGAAGTCCATGAGTCATAAAAGAGACGAGGTTGCTTACCCCTGAGCTTGTTGGACAACAGCTTGAAGCTTGCCAGGTGAGCAGCAGATAGGAGGGGGGGAGAAAGAGAGAGAGAGAGAGAGAGAGAGGAAAGAGAGAGAGAGAAAGAAAGAGAAAGAGTGGGGGAAGAGGAGTGGCAGACCAAGGGCAGATAGAGAGGGAGGGAGGGAGAGAGACAGAGAGAGAGAGACCCTTTTGACATCTAAAATGAAGATAACACTGCATATATGATTTTTTTACCTGTGTGTGTATGTAATTTATATATATATGTGTGTGTGTGTATGTAATATATATATATATATGTGTGTGTGTATGTAATATATATATATGTGTGTGTGTGTATGTAATATATATATATATTATATATATATATATATATATATATATATATATATATATATATATATATATATAATAAAGGTAAAAAAGGATATATACAGTGTTATCTTCATTTTAGATATCAAAAGGGTTTTGTGGCTCCCGGTGTTTTGTTTTTGGTGGGAAACGGGTCCAAGTGGCTCTTTGAGTGTTTTGGGTTGCCTACCCCTGAGTTATACTATGAACACTGTAATTACAGTGTCAATTGATTTACATATTGATAATCTTGCTACTTTCTTTGCCTGAATTTTTATTATTATATTTTATTATTATATTTTTATTATTATATTTATATATATAGCCATGTAGAATAAACTCTACCTTCCAGGTAGAAAACAATATTTTCTGACTTAGAATGAAATCCTTAAGAAGAAAAAATACATGAAATCCAAGATATGTATTTACAGGTTCAGAGCTCTGGCCTGTATTTTTCAATTCTGGTGTGTTACAGAACTCTTGTATCTTGCAGAATGTCACACTGAGATTGCATAGATATAAAATGGCAAATATTCTCCAAAATCAAATATTCTTGTTTTGTGCCTATGTAGCCAATCTTTTTCTTCCTTCCTTCCTTCCTTCCTTCCTTCCTTCCTTCCTTCCTTCCTTCCTTCCTTCCATCCATCCATCCATCCTTCCTTCCTCAAATTTAAAATCCTTCTATCTATAAAGCGACTCTGGGTGGCACAATACATAGCCTGAATTAATAGTTAAACATATAAACATACACATATACAACATGGCATTAAACTTTATCTCATACCTGAAGTGTCCATAATTCTTAATATCTGTAGTAGCCTTAGTCATTATATTTATATGTTCAGTTTTTATTGTCTACCTACTTCACAAGGATATAAGGCAACTGCATCTCAGATCAGGCATCAATTGCTATCATTTATGTTACAATCTAGCTATTTCAAACCAAAGTATAGTAGTAACAGGATGAGCCAAAACCATTTTAGTCAATCATTCAGTTCCTGAATTGCATCTCAGAAGACTTCATGCAGTTGCTTTCACAAGTCCTCTATGGAAGCAGAAGATAGATCAGTGGTGGCGAACCTATGGCACGGGTGCCAGAGGTGGCACTCAGAGCCTCTCTGTGGGCACGTACGCCGTTGCCCTAGTCTTAGGCCTTCAGCTGGGTTTTATAAAACCTTTTTGCTTTAGGCTTCCACTGCCGTGTGCAAAAAAAAAAAAAGGTTCAATTAGTCAATTTCAACTTCTTGCAGGAAAAAAAAAAAGATCTTGCAAAGTTGGAATTGATTGATTGAACTTTTTAGTCCCAAGTTGGAATTGATTGATTGAACTTTTTAGTCCCACCCAGTCTGCCGCTACCATTGCACCTACACCCACCCAATGGGCCACACCCAGCCAATTGATCACACCCAACCAATAGGCCCTACCCAGCCAATGGGTCACATCCACCTGGCACCCAACAATGCATAAGTGGGTTTTGGGTTGCAGTTTGGGCACTCCGTCTCTAAAAGGTTTGCCATCACTGAGATAGATAGAAGACATTTCTGCTGAAAAAAAAAGTAAGGCACCATCTCTAGGGCAGTAGTAGCAACTTCTCCTAGTCTTCTTTCTTCTTTTGAGAACAAATGTACATGCTCTTATATATTTTCAAACCAACCTGTTGATCTTAGGTATGAAGGAACCAATCCTGTTACCAATACTAAAATACCATTCAAATGCTAATCAGTTGATTTTCTTACATGGAAAGAAATTCTTAACTTTTGCTTCAAGCATCAGAATGACTTTTGGTTGGCCTTGCTTGTAAAGAGCATAATTAAACACAACCTGTGAAAAAGCTGATTCTACAGTTAATAGAGCTTAATTTCTTCTTTATTTCAAAATTATTAATTTTAATGGAATTTCTGTTTACTAAGGGAATGAAAAGGTGTTTTAATTACTGTTTCATACCTTAAATGTGGCCCATTAGTCTGGTTACATGAGTGAAAACAGTATGATACATTGGAGATAATGGATTATTCATTGTAAGTTAGAAGGATCACTAGGTTTTGTGACAATTTGTACTCAGGTTTAATAACCTCCTTAAATTTAATGTTCCAGGCTAACGGATAATATAAAACATGTTCAAATACAACAGAAACTTTGTGTGTGTGTGTGTGTGTGTGTGTGTGTGTGTGTGTGTGTGTGTGTGTATGTATATGTGTATATACACATACTGTACAGGTAGTCTTCAACTTACAACAGTTCTTTTAGTGACAGTTCAAAGTAAAAAAGTAAAAAAAGTGACTTGTAACCATTGCAGCATCCTCATGGTCATATGATCAAAATTCAGACGCTTGACAATTGACTCATATTTATGATGGTTGCAGTGTTCTGGGGTCATGTGATCACCTTTGGCGACTTTCTGACAAACAAAGTCAATAGGGAAGCCAGATTCATTTAACAACCGTGCCGCTAACTTAACAATTACAATAATTCATTTAACAATTGTGGCAACAAATGTCATAAAATGGGGCAAAACTCATTTAGCAAATGTTTCACTTAACAACAGAAATTTTGGGCTCAATTGTCGATATATATCCTGGAAAATCTTCCTTTCCATGTTTGGTTGAAATCTTAATACAGTGGTCCCCAACGTTTACAGCTTGGTGGCCTGGTGGGAGGGGAGAGCGGAACCAGTCCACCTTTTGTGCCAGTTGAGCTGTGCATGTATGCGTGTGCATGCTGGCCCACCATCTGTGCAAGTTGAGCTATGTGTATGTGCCTGTGCATGCCGGTCCATCGCTCATGCAAATCAAGTTGCCTGCAGGCATGCACATGCACGCTGGCCCATTGCTTGCAGAAGTTGAGCTGCACATGTGTGTGCCTCCTACCATTCATGTAAGTCGAGCTGCATGCATGCACATCGGCCTGCTGCTTGTACGTGTCAATCTGTGAGCACATGCGCTGGCCAGCTGCTTGCATGGCCCAATTTCCGATAGACCATGGCCTGGTAGTGGACCCCAGCCCGGGGATTAGGGACCCCTGTCCTAATAGCAATGTTCATTATTTTTGTTGACATTCAATCCATACTGCTCTTCCAGAAAGAAGAAAGAACCAGTACATCAGGGGTGTTAAACTGCCGGCCTGTGGGCTGGTTGCATCCTGCGGAGGCCATGCCCACCCCACCTCCAGCAATGCGAAAAAAATCACGATATGTCATGACACATCACATGACGTGGCGAGTTTGACACCCGTACAGTAGAGGCATCATACCTTGGTGTGGAGGAGTATCTCAGGGCTCTGCATTTTCACCTTACATTTAAAATCTGCATGAGGATGCTGGGTGAGGTCATCCATTGGACTGGGTTCAGATACCATCAATATATGGATGATGCCCAGTCTTTACTCCAAACAAACCAGGTGAGCTTGTCAAACTCTTGCTAACATTTACTGAATGCAGCCCAGAGTTCTTGCAGGATTAAGCACCAGTATAACATTTTAAAATAAATAAAATCAAGGAAGAAATAATGATTTTCTACCAGCATCCTTGCAGCCCTTAGCGTTTCATCTCAGTGTATGTTAGAGGATCTCTTAATGCACTGCAGAGCACCTCTTTAGAATGAAGGTGGAAAATAAATACATGAACAATTCCATCTTCCACCTGTGTAAGTTAAGAACTGCTAAGCATATTTATCTGTCATATATTCTTCTACCCTACACAATGACCTAAACATAATAGAAGCCCATGGGCATAATGTCTCACAGATTATCAGGAGGAAAACGTATTTCAAACAATATAGTAGTGCTGTAAATAGTGCAATGCTGCTGCTATCTAATGTCATCTTGATAGTGCATTTGTCAAAAGAATTAAAGGATGAGGGACAGAGATTGCTAGTTGCATTTCTCTGTCACATCTGACCCTTCTTTTCACTTAAGGGTAGTTAAGTAGATACTGGAGAGGAAAATGATTTGACAAGAGTCAAAAGGAGCCTGAGTGCTAGATCCACTGTACCAAATATACACAAATGAAAGGCAGTGATGAAGACCTTTTGATGTTGGAGTTATTCATTGTGGATTCCTAGCTATATTTTTTCCAATATAAAT